TTTTAAATGATCCTGAGGGTTATGGAACAAAAAAGTCAAGTGGTAGACCCAAAAAAACTTTACCAGCTCTGAGCTGCAGGATCCGATTGGCTGTCTGTCTTCAAAGGCCACGTCTTCTTCAACGCCACAAAATTGCCCGTTTGGACTTTGCAAGGGTGCACCATTGAAAGGTGGAAGAAAGTTGTCTTCTCTGATGAGAAAAAAATTAACCTTGATGGTCCTGGTGGCTTCCAACGTTACTGGCATGACAAGGAGATCCCACCTGAGATGTTTTCTACACGGCACAGTGGTGGGGGCGCCATCATGATTTGGGGTGCGTTTTCCTTCAATGGAACAATGGAGCTTCAGGTTGTGCAGGGGCGTTAAACAGCAGCTGATGTGGAGATGTTGTAGTGGACATCCCTCATGACTGAGGGCCCTCGTCTGTGTGGTAATGATTGGGTTTTTCAACAGGACAATGCTGCAGTTCACAATGCCYGCCTGACAAAGGAGTTCTTCCAAGAGAATAACATCACTCTTTTGGACCATCCTGCATGTTCCCCGATCTAAACCCAACTGAGAACATTTGGGGATGGATGGCAAGGGAAGTTTACAAAAATGGACATCAGTTCCAGACAGCGGATGGCCTTCGTGAAGCCATCTTCAACACTTGGAGCAACGTTCCCACTAGCCTCCTGGAAACACTGGCATCAAGCATGCCTAAACCATTGTTTGAAGTCATCAACAAGAATGGTGGAGCTACTCATTACTGAGTCCTTTTTTTTGACACTGATTTTTTTTGAGCTATGGTCTTAAACTTTTGATCAGCTGAAAAAAAAAATCATGTTTGAGTGTAAATGCAGTTTTCAGAAAATTCCCTGCTCAAAAGTTCTTGTCTCTTGCACTGATTTCTTCTTTTAACATTGTGAAGCTCTACTTATAACCTTCTTAAGATCCAATAGTGCAAAACGCAAATTCTTGCACTTTTTTGACTGGTCTTAAGATTTTGATCAGGAGTGTATTTTATGTACTTCATGGAAGAAAATTTTGTCAAACTTTGTTCCTACCCTCACCTATGGACACAAACCATGGGTAGGGATCACCACTGAGTAGCTCCCTTAGAGACAGAACACAAAGTTCAGTCATCCAGTATGGCCTCTGAGTGGTCTCTGCTCCTCCTCAACGAAAGAAGCCAGTTGGGGTGGTTCAGGAACCTTGTCAGTTCCTGTGGATGCCACCCTAATGAGGAGACCTCATATTGGCTGGCCTGGGGACACATAGGAGTCCTCCCAGAAGAGCAGGAAGATGTGGTTGTGGAAAGAGATATCCAGGCCTCCCTGATTAAGCAACAGCCCTTGAGACCCAACTTTGAATAAAGTGGAAGATGATGGACAAGTGGATGGTAGATTCACTTCTACACAGACAAATGTGCTGAACATTCAAAAATTATCCCAACAAACACACCACCATAAAAAGGGCTTTTATGTATGAATACAGACAGTTTTTTATCTTCAGACATGTGAAAGGCAAACTGAAAACTAAACAAATGGAGCCAGTAGAGGCCTGACTGTCAAGTGTGCACACTTTTTTTTTTAATAAATAAAGGGGAAAAATAAACGTTTCACAGGAAAAGTTCCTCTTTAATATTCACAACTAACTATAACAATTATTGTGCTTCAAAAAAAAGTGCTCACTCAGCGGCCTTTATTTGTTTACTATGTAAACATCATTAACTCAATAAACAAAAGGGCACTCACCTGTCTCCGGAGTACTGCTGAGCTCCTCCGGTGAAGCCGTACTTGTCCACCTGCTGCTGGTCTTCTTCTCCGGGGATGGTGGTGGTCCCGTTTGCCTGCCCTTTCTCGCGGTCCGTCAGCTTCTCGGTTCCGCCACGGATTTCGAGTCCATTGCCCTGCTCGGGTTTTGCCATTTAATCGGCATTTACTTTTGTAGGTGCAGACGGTCTACGGAATAATCTCAAAACTTCTTCCAAGCTCTGCACGCAGACGCCATCAGAGCTAGCTAATGTTGCTAGGATAATTTCGTCCCTTAGCTGCTAACACAACAATAATGCTAAAACAGCCACCTGACTGTGATTTTTAATGTTAGATCACAAAATTGACGCTCTGGTAACACTATTGTTGGCGGTTAAACTACAAAAGACTTAAATAAAGCGGCTGTAAGCTCGGTGTCTGAATGCTAAATCCCAAGTTGACATGCTAACATGCTAACACTCAGCTGACCTGTTCGCTCGGTCTCTGCTAAGGAAGGAATCCTCTCAGAAGATTCCTCTGCTGTCAGCAAGAATGTGGATTAGGTCTAGGCTAAAGAATAACTGCCTAAAACAAAACATAAACAAAACATCTATGGCATCCTATTGCTCCCTTCCGCCACCTACTGCTGGATTTTTGTCTTTTCCATTTATTCAACACAACTTTATTTATAACACTTTTAAACACAAATGTAGCTCAAGGTGCTTAACAAAGCAAACCAGACAAAAATAGGCATTAAAAAGACAAACAAAACAACTAATTATACAATACATGACACCTCTCCCCTCACGCCACATAAAGGTAAAAAACAAACAATAGCATTTGCAATAAAACTAGAAATAAACAATAAAATGTGATTAAAATCAACAATCACAAATATTATGGATGCAGTAAGTGCATTACCTTACTCAGTTGCAATGTGTTTTTTTCCATTTAGCGCACATCATATACAAAATATGAAAAAATAAAAATGATTGTATGGTGGAGATTTATCTTTTAAATATAGTAGAAACTTTAGAAATTCCTCATTCTGGTTTATTGTCCTTTCAAAACAAGTGTTGATTTTAAATTTTTATCAATATTGACCATTTTCCTCAGATCAGAATCTAGAAAACCTCTTTAAAAAGGGACTTGATTTTAAAAACACAAAACACCGAAACAGGTTTTAGTATAAATACTAGATTCTTTATTTAAATATTGTACATACCAGTATTTACATCATTTAGACCTGCATTGTTACGCTGCAGAGCTCTGTATCTTTCATTCACTGACAAGACAGAAGACAATCATACTATCAGACTGCAGAAGCACCTTTTGAGAACGGCTTAATAGGGTGGGGGTAAAGACGAGGGACGGAAGGGTACACGTCATTTAACACTGGGGGACACAGGGGACACGGGATGAGCTTGCAATGACAGGAAAGGCCTCTTGATTTACAGGTTGAGCTGTTAAGGCTGGAAACTGTGCTCACCCTTGTAATGCAAAGACAAGAGCATGAGTGAGAGAACTGGAAAATGCAGATACAAGAAATGCAAAAGGAATTGGGCAAACAGCAGAAGAAAAATAATCAAATCAACCGTTTTGTCTTTAACTATGACCAGTTAAATCTGAACAGTGAAATATGATCAGAGCATAAATTGATTGTTCTACTGTTCCCCTTAGAATATTTGTGAGCTATTTTCTAAAGCAACACGCAAAAAAAAAAAAAAAAAAAAAAAAAAACACTAAACGCATCTACAAACTAAAGGCATTTCCTACAATTGTTACAAAAACTGAACGGTGGGCATGTTGGTGTTCTTTAACGAACTGAGATGAACTCAACTCATGATTTAAAATATGGCTTTCCTTTTCTGGCTTCTTGTCGTTTACCTCCAGATCATCAAACAGGAACAAAAACATTATAACTTGTTTTTTCTCCAACACCTTTAAACAAGATAATACATTGATTTTACTCGTTTCACGCAGCCTTGAGCACAAGACGCTTACAGTATTGTCATTAGGAGTTTAAATTTAAAAAGAGAAGTGTCTTTGGTGAGCATGTAGTTAAAATGTAAAGATTTAAAAACAGGCCATCATGCACAGCATCATCAGTGTTTTTCTGAATATTACATTTGTCCAGCTCACTCGTTTCTACACACAACACCGTGTTCACATCTTAGACCACACATTTTCTAATTTTTCATCGTTTGACATCTACATTTTTTTTAATAAATAGCCCCTCTGGCACTTTTCAGCAATAATTTACAACTAGGTTAGATAAATGAGTCAGTTTCAACACAGCAGAACTGGTAACTGACGCTTTAACAACATGTAAAGTAAAATTAAGTTATTTTATGTTCAATAATTGATTCGTTTTATTCCTCTATTTTACCCGAAATATAAATTTTCAGTGTTTGAACTAAATTAATGCAGATCGTTAATTTTGATATGACCTAATGCGAGAAAACTGACTATGAATGCTTTCACTCACTAAATTTAATGCCCACTTTTACAAATATCTGTGTGCATTGCGACTTTTTTTCATTGTTTTAACATAATCAAGGACTGAATGCTAAAAAAAGGCTTTTGAAAGGCAGTTACAAACAAAAAAAGCAGCAAACGAACATACCAGGAATCAAAAGTAACAAAATAACAAAACAGAAATTGTACTTTTTTTAAAAGAGTCTTTTAGTTTATCTATTTCACATTCTTCAGTGGTACTTTTCAGACAAAAAAAAAACTTATAAAAATACATTTTCCCTCTTTAATTTTATTCCTGACCTGTCAACTGTAAGCCTTCCCAGACGCTAGCTTTAGCTTTACAAGATAACAAATATTTACACTCGAGACAACACACACCAATAACTATTCACACAAACCCCTTTTAAAAATCATTCCCACCACACCATGGACGAGAGGAATTGTTTCAAACATCTTGTTCATTTTCGACCAATTGGAAGTCTGGGATTGATGGAGCATGAATCAAAATCATCTATACAGAAAAATATGTCCATTGACGAAGATGTTTATGTCACAAACTATTAACAAATAGCTCTTTTTTGTTTTAAATCAATCCAAAAAGAAAAAAGAAAAAAAAACAAAAAAAAATCACAAATATAGCCTTAAAAAATATATTTACAACTTATCAGGATGTGCGAATCTAAGGGTTCCCTAAGCCGAGTGACAAAACCTGACTAACCTTCACGTGACGTTTAAACAAGCTTTCTCCTTGCAGATTTCTTTAACTTGAGCAAGTTCCCAAACCTGAGGCATTAAAATCCACTTCCCACAACATGTCGCATTAGCATCCTCAGACTAACCCATGTGCCTGCTTCAAACACATAATGGGAACATGTAAATCAAAAAAAGAAGAACTGTGAGGTTTAATAACCCATTGCTACTCTCTGAAAAACAACAAAATGCATGGCTTGCTCCTTATTATTAATGTTTTTATACATATGGGCTACCCTCAAGTATCCAAACTGTAGGCGGTCTTACGTACGCCACAAATTGTCGGACAACAGTGTGAGACGTGAGCGGGGCTGACGTCAGCTTCTCCCAGGTCACGATCAGCATTAAACACACCCCGGCTGCCTGCCGCCCCTCAACCGTTCCAGCACCACGTTAAAGACAACAGAGAACAAAAAGAACGCCACAAAGGTGGAGGTCAGCCACGCCATGAGGAGTGCGAGTCGTGTTGGTGGGCCTCCCCTGCAAGCCCGCAGTGCATGTTGGGAGGGCTGCGGGTGAGAGACTCAGGCAGATGGCAAGAAAACATCAGTCCCAGTGAAGCGCGCACACACACAGACACACACTTTTTAGTCTGCATATTCAGCCACTATGGACAAGAGCACCGTGATATCATCGGGTTTCCCTCCTGTAACGAAGAAACAAAATTAAAAATCGTAACTTTGACTTAAATAATTAAGAGGAAAACTCAAGACGCAACATAAAATTATTTCCTCACCTCTTACAGTCAGGCCATTATCACAGGCAAACTGTGCAAAAGGAGACATATAATTGGGATCGTAGGCAAGGTTGTGAGCTTGCTTTGCGATGCTCTGTGCGGTCTGCAGTACGCTGTCGTAGTTTGAAGTCTGGAAGAACAAACAGTGAAACCGTTAGACAAATAACACTCGGGGTTTATTGCGTGTACAAAATGAGCTGATGTCCATGAGTGATACCTTCAGTTTTTTCAGCTCCTGAAGGATCATGTAGTCCGGCATGTTGTCAAAGAGCCCGTCTGTTGCCGTTAGGATGATGTCACCGAGCTGAACGTCAAACGAGGAGCTGTCGGCTGCTTCGGGACTGGAAGAAGATAAAATCAGCCATGTGATATCCAGAACCCAGGCAAGAAGCACTCAGAGTAACCAGCTACGGTTTCTAATATAAAATTAAGGAGGTGAGGAGCCTGCCAATCCTAAAAGGTGCATTTGGTGCAGATGACTCAGAAACACTCTGTCCCGACTGTTGCTGCCAGATGCAGGGGAGTTCTTGTACTCACCGACACCGGAGAATTCAAGTTCTACTTCCCAGGGACCCAGTGTTCCTACTGGACACTGACTGAGAGGGTCTATATTAAGATGATATGCCACAGCTATAAATCTACCTTTAAAAATCAAGATCTGCTACATCTTAAAGGTTAAGCACTACAGAGGAGCAGCAATAAAACAGAGGAATAAAAACTCAACTCCAACGAGAACACGACGTGACTAAGGAAAGCTGATGGCTTGTTTTTATTTATGTCGGCCTGATGCATTTTCAGGTAATATAATTATAAATGTAAAGTTAAAAACAATATATGGAAAATGGAAACATACTTATTGCGCAATATTCAAACCCTGATCATTATCAAGCCAAGCTATGACAAATGAAACTGAAAATTAGATTAAAAAGCATCAAAAGAAAAAAAAACATCTTGTGTCAATTCATTTTGACAGCATCTACATGTTGATGTCTGATAAAGTTTTAAGCGCAAATGTCTGCAAGAGACTGTGCACTGTGAGAATAAAAATAAGAAGCCATAAAATGCAATAATGCCTAAAATCATTTTTAAATAAATTACTTAAACACAAACTATGGAAAATCATTTATGTACTATAAAACTGTCAGCATTCTATCAAAATGTAATATCTACATGAACCTCTCAGTAAATAAATATTATTAAGCCTAATTTAATGAGAATGCTTTAAGCTAAAACTGATCAAAACAGTTAAAATATATTTATGATGACTGCAGACGTTCAAAACTGAAAGCTAGAGGAAAAAGTTCAAGTTCACCACTTTTGTTGGATTCACTTTTCGTTTCCTTTAACTTGCAAGGTGTCCAACGCTGATGCACTGACCTGTCACTGAGCACGACCCCCTCTGCTCCCGGAGGAGCGATGGACAGCTGGAACGGCGTGTTGAAATAGTGCTGCTGCTCATCCGAGCGATGGACCACCTCTCCTCCTCGTACCACGAGAAAGCCAGAGTCTCCGAGGTTGCACGTGTGAAGCCGGTGGCTCCTTCGATCCAGAACCACAATACAGGCAGTGCTGCTTCCTACAAACACAGACGCAAAACAATGATAAGAGTAGAACTGTGTAAACAGGAGGAGGATTTTTAGAAAAACAAATAAAAAACACAAGCAGGATGACCTAGAAAACTGGATTATGATTAAATTGTATAAAACATAGTTGATTTATTAGAGGGGAGATAAACAAGGTCAGGGGTTGTTTCCCTTACTTGTCCCAGAGCCCCACTGATGGGAGTTTTTTACAATCTGTGTAACCCTGAGCAGCAGTGCTGAAGTACTGACCTTGTCACGTCTTTCCAAAATATAATTAGGACCTTTAGCAAATACCTCAGCGGTCACAGAGTGTGCACACCGACTCTTGGACTGAGCCTCTGAAGAAATGTGACCTTGGTCACATGCTTGACACAACCCTGTTTTTAAAACCTTAACAACCACCAGTCTTATCAGTTACAAATGGATTCTTGAACTATTTGAATGTTTTAGGAGGAATTTCACCTTTTTAAAAAGGAGAAATGTTTTAAGCCTCAATATTTAATCATTTCGATGCAAACATAACAGAAACGGCTTCATCAAATCACTTATCACTGACATTATATTACTAAATGTAAAATGTTGATGTCATTCTTACTCGTCGTGCCACAATATCCCTCCATCTTTTATCTACTATTTTATGCATCTTGCTACAGTCTGACTCATACTGCAGCTATTTACGTACGCCGGTTCAGCACAACTCATCCAACAATGACTGGGTGCACCGGTGGTGCAAGATGTTAGCGTCGGCGTTCGCTCACCTAGCAGCGGGACTTTGTTCTGCAGGAGCTCGTAGTAGCCTGAGGTCAGAATACCCACTGGGTTACTGGGAATGAAGCGTCCCTCCTTCACCAGTCGCTCACAGGTTCTCATTAAGGTGGCAGAGAACTGAGATGGGTCGACGCCGTAGTCCCGCCAACCGCCTACACCGTCCGCTACACCTGATTGAGAAAACAGGGTTATACATACATATACACAATGTTGCTGCATAAAAACATGCAGCAGGATTCGCTGCTTTCATTCGTCTTCCATGGATGCACTGACAGCTTTAACCAGCATTTACAAATATAACTTGTTTCTGATATTATTAATTAGTGAGCTAAAGTTAGCTTTGCAGTATCTGCATAATGTAAAAAATGAAGTCTTGGAAAGCACTAAAGGTTTAAGAAGGTCCTAAAATAAATATGGCATTTTTATAAGGGTGTTTCTACGGTCCATCCATCTTAGTTATTTTTTTATTGATTATTTTGGTTGTGCTTTTGGGACTAGTACAGCAGTTTAACCAATTCTGGTTGTTTTATGTGCTTTCTAAATAAATCTGATTTGATCAATCTTTGTGAGTGCTATAATTTGCAACCAAGGGACAATAAAACAAATGAATAATGTTGTTTTGATGCTGTTTTGGGAAAAAATAACCAAAAACATGTTTTTATTTCTTCCATATCTGAATCAGCAGGTTAAAATATTTTTTACTGTTCCTCCATTGTACTTTTATTTTACTGCTGTCTTTTTGAACATGTATGTTTATTGTCTGCTGCTGTGACAAAACAACTTCCCTCAGGGATGAATAAAATATCTGTCTATCCTTGCCAACATTGGAAATCAGTATTGTTCCAGAATGTTGCAACATTAATGAGCAAATATTAGGATTTTACATACGAGAACAAAACCAGATATTTGTTAAGCAAATTAGAGCTACCTGAATCTATTTGAAACCTAAAACTGAACAAAGCAGCATCCAACTGATCAGTTCGATTTGACTGATAAAAAGTGTAATAAAGACGGCTGTTTAACACGGAACACACTTGAAGGAGACAGAGAAAACATTAAATAGGCTGTGGGGGATTTCTGTTATTGTTATTCCACAGCTGCTTCTCTTTGTTATGAGTCACCTCAAAAAGAAACTAAACAATAATCCGGATCCTGTCAATCCCCACAAATTCACTATTTCACTGCAGGAAACGCATACAAATCTACATGACTGCACGCAGGTCTGGACACAGTGCTCGGAAACTACTAAATCTATCGTTAAAAGCCACGTGGCTCGTGTTTGTAGCTCGAGCCGGTGAGGACAAAACGTCCAGCGAAGCTAGCGGGAGGCTAACAGAGCTAGCAAACATGGCCGCCCCCACGCTCAACCATTCTGACCTTTGCGAGACATTGTTCTGTCTGAACGTTTTAACCTCACATTTCCCAGTCATTTACGTGTTCAATGACTTACAATTCAAAACATTTTACCTTACGAGTTTTTAATTTTCACGCTAATACTATATATTTCTTACAGAGCTAATCTGGGTGAAAGGTCGTTCGGCCACAATAATCCATGATGGATGTTTTACTCCGGTTTTGTTTCTAAAATAATTATTAGATTATGCCCTGCAAGTTAAGCAACTTAACTAACTGAGTTGCTATCAATTAAGAGTTGTAGAAAACACTCATATGAGTTGCAGTTACAGCTCTGGTCTGTTTGGGTGGGGGTCGTGTTTTCGTCCCGAGGGGTCAGTAAGCACGTGCAGACCCCTCTGCACGTGCGTTGAAGGTCACCCGAGAGGATGCTTGTTATTTCTTACCTAAAACATCGGCCGACCTGTGCCGCGCTATGAAGCAGGCATCATCTCCGTAGCACATTCCTTTCTTCAGGATCCCCTTGCGAAAGTCTTTGCCGAAGCCATAGCTGGCGCTGATCAGGCTGTAATCCCGACCGTCCGTCTGAGAGAGTCCGCCCAGGACAGCCCTGGCTACGAGTCTGCCATAAGACAGTACGGATAACATTCCCTAACAAGGAGAAAGTCGGTCTTGGTTAAATACTCCGTCCCACTTCGTTCCCTCTCCGACCAGTCCAACTGTCTGCCTGCCTTCAGGCCAATGTTCGGATCGAGCTAGTTTTTCTGTCCGTCCATGAGACACCGACAGGCCCGCTGCTGTGAAAATACCAGTCGCGTTGAACAGTCGCAGTTCGTCCAAAACGTGTCTGCGTGCCGTCTATGTCTCGAGCGTGGGTTCCACGGCTGCTACGGTTCCTCCACTGGGCTCCCTTCGAACCGACATGTTGCTACCATACACAAGCTGCGAGTACATACGGGTGTTTGACCGTTACAACCATGATGTCAAAGCCGCGTGCGTAAGTGACTCCTCCCAGAGAGGAAAGAGAAGAGCAAGGACGAAGAAGACATTGTATGGCAGGCCGTTGTAACATATAATCAAGCCACTGCGTTTGTTTATTTCAATCATGAATTGGAAAAAAATATTCAGCAAGTCATTCAACACTAAAAAAAATGAAATAATATAAAATAATCTAATAAAACAATAGGAAAAAAACAAGTTGTCCAGTAAAAATAATAATAATAAAGGAAACGAAAAATAAAATAAACAATGCATAAAAAATCAAAATATCAAGGAAAGTAAAACTGTTAAAAATAAGTCATGAATGAAAAGGTACAGAAAGAAGTATAAACTCATAACATATGCCCCTAGCTTCAACAAGGTTTATTTATTTACTGCCAATTCACAAGAAAAGTCTACGGATACGGAAGAGGATTAGGGCCACTGAAAAAAAAAAAAAAGAATTCTGACTTCTAACTTTTTAAGATTAAAGTCAGAATTCTGACTTTTATTTCAAAATTCTGAGATTAGAATTATGAACCCTGAAATGCCATTGGAACATGTGCAAATTAAACTGATAAATCTAAGCTGTAATACAAACCCAATGTATTTAAACTAATCTGTGGTAAACTTTCCTTTAAGATCATAGATGAAAAAGTTCAGAAACATCTTCAAGCTAGAAATGGGTTTATTAAATTTGCTCACCCACAAACAATGCCACAAAATATTTAAATAAATATCCACTTTTATAATGCTTTTTTCTCACTTTTATTCACTATTCAATAATTTTTACATTTGTTTATCATTAGAATTTTATTTACTAACATGTTTTAAGC